AAAAATGAAACAAGGTATTCAGCTGGCTCTTCTCCACAATCTGTAGTTGTTGGTGATTTCAACAACGACACTCGACTAGATATCGTTGTCGCCAATTTGGGTGGCAATGATGTGAGTGTCCTTCTTGGAAATGGAAATGGTTCTTTTGAAAATGAAACAAGGTATTCAGCTGGCTCTTCTCCACAATCTGTAGCTGTTGGTGATTTCAACAACGACACTCGACTCGATATCGTTGTCGCCAATTATTATAGCAATGATATGAGTGTCCTGCTGCAATATAACAGAGTAGTGATAGCATATAAAATGGCGTATGCATCTGGCGGTGGATCTAGCCTACAATGCGTAGTGATTGGTGATTTGAACAACGATACTAACCTGGATATTGTCTTAGCTAATTATGGCACTAATAATATCGGCGTCCTTTTTGGATATGGAAATGGTAGTTTTGAAAACCAAATGATGCTCAGCACTGGCACCAATTCTCATCCGATTTCCATCGCGGTTGGGGACTTCAATGGTGACCGCGTACTGGATATTGCTTTCGCCAATAGTGGTACCAAGCATGTAGATATGATGCTTGGAAATGGGAAGGGAAAATTTGCAATTCAAACAAGTTATGAAATTGGTTTTGATTCACCTCCGTTAGTTATGGCTTCTGGTGATTTTAATAATGACACACTATCGGAGATCGTGATCGTTAACGGTGGAAGTAATCATGTGGATATCTTTGTTGCGTACAATCATGGTTCTTTTGAAAACCAAACTAAGTATTCAGTTGGCTCTTCTCCACAATCTGTAGTTGTTGGTGATTTCAACAACGATACTCTACTAGATATCGTTGTCGCCAATTATTATAGCAATGGTGTGAGTGTACTTCTTGGAAATGGAAATGGTTCTTTTAAAAATGAAATAAGGTATTCAGCTGGCTCTCATCCACAATCTGTAGCTGTTGGTGATTTCAATAACGACACTCGACTCGATATCGTTGTCGCCAATATGTTTGGCAAAAATGTGAGTGTCCTTCTTGGAAATGGAAATGGTTCTTTTGAAAATGAAACAAGGTATTCAGTTGGCACTTTTCCACAATCTGTAGTTGTTGGTGATTTCAATAACGACACTCGACTAGATATCGTTGTCGCCAATATGCTTAGCCATGATGTGAGTGTCCTTCTTGGAAATGGAAATGGTTCTTTCAAAAATCAAGTAAGATATCCAGTTGGCTCTTGGCCACGATCTGTAGTTGTTGGTAATTTCAATAACGACACTCGACTAGATATCGTTGTCGCCAATTCGGATAGCAATGATGTGAGTGTCCTTCTTGGAAATGGAAATGGTTCTTTTGAAGATGAAAAAAGATATCCAGTTGGCTCTTCTCCACAATCTGTAGTTGTTGGTGATTTCAACAACGACACTCGACTAGATATCATTGTCGCCAATTTTGGTGGCAATGATGTGAGTGTCCTTCTTGGAAATGGAAATGGTTCTTTTAAAAATCAAACAAGATATTCAGCTGGCTCTTCTCCACAATCTGTAGTTGTTGGTGATTTCAACAACGACAATCGACTCGATATCGTTGCCGCCAATTGGTATAGCAATGGTGTGAGTGTCCTTCTTGGAAATGGAAATGGTTCTTTTAAAAATGAAACAAGGTATTTAGCTGGCTCTCGCCCACAATCTGTAGTTGTTGGTGATTTCAATAACGACACTCGACTAGATATCGTTGTCGCCAATAGCGGTAGCAATGATGTGAGTATCCTTCTTGGCTATGACAATATAGTTTTTGTAAAGCAAATGATACTGATAACTGGAAATGATTCCCGACCACAGTCGTTAGTGATTAGCGATTTTAACAATGATGATCTAATGGATATTGGCGTCATTAATTCACGCACCCATAATATTGATATTTTTCTTGGATATGGAAATATCTCTTTTGCAAATCAAATAACATATTCAACACATCCATATTTATATGCATGCTCTATGGCTGTCGGTGATTTCAACAATGATAGGCGAGTGGATATCGTCTTTGCTAGTTGTGAGTCAGACAGTGTTGGTATTATTCTTGGATATGGGAATGGCTCTTTTGGAAATCAAATGATGTATCCAACCAACTCAAGTTCGTCTCGATACTCTTTAGCTGTAAGTGACATTAACAACGACACTATACAAGACATTGTCATCGCGAATCATGATGCCAATTATCTAGGTGTACTTCTCGGACATGGCAACGGCACATTTGCAAGTATCATCTTATTTCCGTTGGACTATGGATCCAATCCATTCTCTATTGTCGTTGGAGACTTCAATAACGACAGAAAACTAGATATTGGCGTCGCTAATAGTGGTACTGACAGTTTAAATATTCTCTTGCAGACTTGTTAGTTTTTCTATCTCGTACTTTATCTTATTCTATTACTCACTTATTTCGTATGCTCTTATATCTAGTAGAACCATAGTTTAAATATTCAAATGATTTTAACTGCAAAAGATGAGTGGGGAAAAGGTGTGGGTGTGTGTGTGTGTGGATGTGGGCAGTGAGTTAAGAATAATACACCCACACCCAAATCGTCTCGATCAACTCTCTTTTTCCATGATACGTATTAGTCCAACGAGATCATTCAGTGTGCGTGTCTAACTGTAGAAATCATCGTGTGACGAAATGAGTGGAAGGAGCAAAACAGAGGGTGGGTGTGAAAAGTTACCACAATACTAAGTAGTATTTCAATTTTACAAGAAATCTTATCAAGTGGCAAATATCTGTATAAATGATTCAAAGAAAATTTTTGAACCAAATACAAAACATTTTTGAATTTTCTACTCAATTGGAAAACAGATCGACTTATATCTCTATAATACAAATCAATCTGCTAGTCTCAACTCTTGCTTTTCAGCAATCGATTTCCTGTCGAGAATTAAATTAGAATGAAATAAATATAAATAAATATGCTTGAATAAAAATTAATTTAAAAGAAATGCAGATTATTTTCGCCGAGGCGTTTCGTATTATTTATTTTATTAATAAAACACTCATCAGGGCTCTGCATTCACAATTACAAAAGTACAAATTTAAAACGATATGGAAGAAAAGTTAAAAAACAAATTAAAAGCTTATTTAGAAGAAAGATAAAGAAAAAGCTAGAATATAATGGAAAAACAATTAAAGGCAAAGGGACAGAAATAAAATATCAAAAAGAAAAGTATATTAATACCAAACTAAATTGGAGGCAGAATTAATTATAATTTCAGATTATATCAATTGTGTCATTCCGGGTTACTTCATGTATTGAAACAGAAGCAATATATTGTTTCAATATAACGAAACCTTTATTTGTAATTTAAACTTAATTATCTTGTCGTTTGAAATATAAATTATTAGAATGGTTATTTGGCTCCGGTCGTCTCCCATCTAATATGGGTAATGAACAATGATTTGTATATATTTTTTATAATAGTATCACTTATCTTTAAAGATATGGACGTATGTATATAATAACATCACTTGTTTGTCTTTGAAGATATGAATGTATATATATTTTTTTATATAACAATATTACTTATTTGTGAAATAATTAATTTTAAACAGATCAATCTATATATTGTTTTAAATAATATAAATTAATCTGCTACTCTCAATTCTTGCTTTTCAGCAATCGATTTAGTCAATTTAATATATATATATGTGGGTGTGTGTTTGATATTGTGTGCTTGAATTAAATTTTTGGATCAAATAAAATAATGCAGATTTAATTTAAAGCCGACGCGTTTCGTGTTTATTTATTAATATGCTAAAACACTCTTCAGGGCACTGCATTATAAAGCACAAAAAATCAGAAAAACACATTTAAAATTAAGCAAAAAATCGGAAAACCACATGTAAAAATAACATTAAAATTATTTACAATAGATTTAGAATAAAGAACTCGATTAAGTTTTTGAAAAACACAATTTATTTAAGAAGCAATATTTGAAAAAATCCCTAAGCAATTGAAAAGAATAAATAGAAAATTACTCAAAAAATCGGTTGGAGAGTAATTTTAGGTTAATAATAATTTTTTATGAAAACTCTCCAACAGTAAAAATATTCTTTTCAATTGTAATTCACAGCTTATGGATCAATAAAACCAGAAAAGAATTTTAGATAGAGTTCGGTTTATTATAGAGTTGTGGGCAATGGTCGGCAAGTAGCGACACATATATGATATTCATCGCTGTTGGTTCAATTGTTATGTCCAGTCATTAGTTGATCCGAACTGCTTTTGTTTGGAGAAAATTGAAATTATCTAATTTATTTCTAACTTTCCTAAATAATATTATTCTATCTGCCACATTAATGGTAATATATGTAATAATTTGTTTGAAAAACAGATCATTTATGTCAATTAAATAGGTAATTTTCATGGACTATATTTCTTAACGTACAAATTATACCATTTTGTATTTTTCTAATTTTAATTTTAATTCCTATTTCAATCCTAATAACAGAATATAATATGCTCACTGGCTTAGTGAGAACAAATTTTGATAATAGATATTTTTTATTTTTTCTGTTTCAGATATTAGCGAAGGTGTGGGTGTGGGTGTGTATAGCTACCACGATACCATAGGTATTTCGAAAATGCAGAAATCTTTTCAAGTGGCACAAGTATCAGTACAAGAGATCCAAAAAGAAGAACTATTTGAATCAATACATGACACTATATTCTACCAAAAAAATAAAAGGTGTGGGTGTGGGTGTGGGTGTGGGTGTGGGTGTGGGTGTGGGTGTGGGTGTGGGTGTGGGTGTGGGTATGGGTGTGGGTGTGGGTATGGGTGCGGGTGTGGGTGTGGATGTGGGTATGGGTTTGGGTGTGGGTGTGGGTATGGGTACGGGTGTGGGTGTGGGTGTGGGTATGGGTTTGAGTGTGGGTGTGGGTATGGGTTTGGGTGTGGGTGTGGGTGTGGGTGTGGGTGTGGATGTGGGTGTGGGTGTGGGTGTGGGTGTGGGTGTGGATGTGGGTGTGGGTGTGGGTGTGGGTGTCAATGTAATCATCTCTTCATCTAAACCCACACCCACATGCCACTCCCACCCACACCCACACCCACGCCCCACACCCAC